ACATTTTCTATGCAAATCTCGAAGTAAGATCTATACACTTAAAAAACCTACCAGATAAAGATGCTCTTATATGCATTTTCATTTGAACACGAACCACACATCATCGTTGTGATTTTGTTAAGTCCTTTGGGAGCAATACTCGATAGAACTGAATGTAGTTTATCTGGCCATTCTTTGCCAGGGAAGACACCAAGTGCAGGTCTATTAATCAAAGCTGAAAATTGTAAAAAAAAAAGAAATCGTTTTTAAACAATCACTAGACTTACATATTGATTATTATTTATCATAATGTTATATTAATTATTACATGATCCGGCTTACTTTTCAGGTTTTGCTCATTGTTAAAGACCTTAAAAAGTCTCGGGTGATTGTAGCCTAAGGGAACTGAGGAAATTTGAGTGTAGACATCTAGTAAAATATTTCCATCAACGTCGTAGATGTAATTTCCAATGGACTTTTCGTAATCAGCAAAAAATTGGATTGTTCCGGTGGCCTATAAAAAAGCAATTCGTTTTAATTAATAAACGGACAATAGAAGACACTTTGGGTGGTCTAAAAAGTTATCTTTAAGTGGACATGGCCTGGTGTCCAGATAAAATTAAAAATAAATTTATTTGATACCTGTACCCTTGATAACGAAAAATAAAACTCACCTGAACAGAATCCAGTTGTTTTTTAAGCTCAATTGATTTCGGGCCAGGTATTGATTTAGTTTTCACCACAGGTTCCTTGGGCTCATTGTTGGTGGAGTACCTTTTGGTGCTCAACCGATATAGGCCTTAAACAATCACTTATCAGTTTTTTTTTTTTTTTCAAAATTAAAGTATTCTTTTTGCTTACTTTGCTTGGTCAACGTGTTTAGCCACAAGCTCCGCATGGTTACTATCGACTGAGTGCTCCGGGGTTAAGTGAAGGAATTGTTCAATAGAAAGGCTAACAACGAGCCAGCCACTAACACTTATTTATTTAAGAGAAATGTATATTTACAGAATACAAACATAAAGGCTCTTATGTATGCGGGTATATATACATATCCATAGTCTTGGGCACAACCACACACTCGCAATTTGGAACTTATCAATTTATTTTTTGGAATTCATCATGGTTCTGCGTCAATTACATATTCTCAGGGGAAAGTAACGTACAACTTATTCAAATTTTTAATAAAGCTCTACTAGCACATAACTCTTAATTAACAACAAGGAATAAGTACTTATTTTTAAAATAAAATGAAAGAAATTTATTATAATAAATGAAAATAAGCTTAAGTTTTGAAAAACCAAGTTAACAAAATATAGCTTTATATACTCTTTGCCGAAAAAATTAAGAAACCAATTTAACAATAAAGTAAAAAAAATATATTTAACGCAAAAGAAAAAGTTTTCTTTAATTATAATAAAATTGGACAATAATTTGGAACACGACTACACTCTGTTAATAACGTAAGGTACTACTTTATAAACATCCAGGTACAATTTTGTTCAATAATATGATAGTAGGTTAAGGAAAAACTTAACATTTTAAAATTTTGGGTATTCCCTAAACAATTAAATATCTGAATTAATGAAACTCGGTCAGCTGGTCTATTCAAATTCAACTGGCAAATTGGAAATTTCAGCAACTTGTCAACTTATTATGTCAGTTTATTGCATATTAATAAATTCAAAAAATTCGTCTTTTTGCTTTTCCTCAAATTTATACCAAAGCTAAGTCAAACAAAGCTTGGGCAAACGATTATTTGAAAATTTGAGCAGGACGGTTTCTCTTTTCCTGAAAATTTCTGCTGAATTTCTTCTGAGTTTTCAGCAGCTCAGAGATTTAGTCGTTAAGGGAATACCAATATTATCTATTTTTGACAAGCCTTAAAGATTGCATTCTTTTTCAGGCGCCTATTCCATATTAGAGCAGCAGGAATTGTTATTTGAAAAATTTGTATTAAGAGAGTTAATCTCTCTTATAATTACTTCGTTAGAAAACAACAACACTTTTATAAGTTTATTAAATCTTAAATCAGCATATATAGGTTTGAAAGTGGGTTTTTGTAGATTCTAGGCAGATCAGCTGCCTGCATTCAAAATAAAATGTTCGTTTCAGTTCAAAAAGGGCCCTGCAAGTAATTTGCTTATAAGTTTAAAAAAGTTTCTATCGGTTATTTATAGTACATTTTAAAAATTGTTTTTTCAAGTTTTTTTTAACGGATTTTTTATGCCAAACTAAACTAACTATATGGTTTTTATATGATTTTTTTTTATTTTGTACTTCATTGATTATTATACCTTTTTTTTGGATATATATAAATAAGCTAATCTTTTTATTTATTGTACAATTTTTTTTTTTTGTGTTCACAAAAACCTTCCTTTTTTGTTTGCTTGTATTCACAAAAACATGGCAATTTTGCTTTATTTTTAAGTGAACTTTTTTTCTTAACCAAACCGCTAAATTGCCATTAAGATTAAATACATTTAATTTAATTTTAATCCAAAACCTAAAATATTCCAAAAAAGATGTTCCATTACCAGCGTTTCAATATCGTCAAAATCAAATGTTGAGCATGACAAATATAGAATCCGATGATATCGATTTTTGTTTCATGTAAATCGATGGCACATGCGGAATGTAAAATAAGATACAGTTGAAGCGAAGAGAGTTTTCATAATATGATTGAAATGAACAAAACTGCAATTGGAATTGCAGCGGGAGTGGCCGGAACTCTGTTCATAGGATACTGCATCTACTTCGACAAGAAGCGCCGCAATGACCCCGAGTACAAGAAGAAAGTCCGTGAGCGTAAGAGTCTACATGGGAGCAAAGTTAATTATGAAAGAAACTGAGCGTTTCATCACATTTCAGGTCGTCGTCGCAACCGGAAAAGCGGCACTGCCAAGCCTGGAATTCCAAACCTGAACGACCATGAAGCCATCGAAAGGTAGGATTCCCATTCTCCGACGCGAAAACCATTATATAATGCGGCACGTGTAGTTGTGCCGATTCATTACACCTTCATTCATACACGCAAGTCCATGTTTTTCCAACCAAATGTATGTACATATGTATGTACATACATATGTTCGGATTAACTAAGCCAATGGTTGTATAAAACCAAAAACTTGTATTACAATCTATTAAGTTTTCCGCATAGACTTGCATATTTAAAGTTAGCAGTCGCATTGGTAAATAATTCAGTTTTAATAATAATATTGCAGTGTTGTTTTAAACAAACCGTTTATATTTAATGGTGTAGTGAAATAGGTTCAAAAACATAAACTGAAATGTGCTAAAGTTTAACCAAAAACTAGTTTAATTCTTTTTAACCAAAATCTTTGTGTGTCCAGCATTGTTTGAACGCCCAAGGTTTTTCTTTCATGACTCACACGTTAAATTTTAAACAAAAAACTTAGCTGCGTGATAAATAATTTGGCTACGTTAAAAAAAATATTAAAAGATTACAATTGAAAAAAAAGAAATAAATTAACATCTTTATGCGCTCTGTATCCATTAAAGCTGTCAAAATTTGTTTGTCATTGCACACATATTAAAGAAATTTTATAAAAATATAAAGCTGTGTACATTTCCTTTAATTTTTTGACATCTAAGAACTTATTAAAAGTGTTTATAATAATATGAACCATTAAATAGAAATTTAATTCAAAAGCGCACTGGTTTTAGTTTTTTTTAGTTGACATCTAAAAACTTATTGAAAGATTTTATAATAATGTGAACCATTAAATAGAAATTTAATCCAAAAGCGCCCTGGTTTTAGTTCAGAAACCATTTTCTCTAATCAAAGTTAATTATTTTTTCAATAAAAATTTGCATAACATTAACGCTTCAGTTTAAGTCATCTCATTAGTTGGATCGAGAGTAAGTTGTTTTTTATTTTTAAAAAAGGTCCAATTCTTAAACCCATTGCTGCTTTATGCATTTCGATTTAAATTAAACATATTTTTTTCCATGTTTTTTTTCCATTTAATACCAAAAATTAAAAAATTTAAAATTACTTATCAAGGTTTAAGTCGCCCCAACTAATCAATCTGTTTGGATCTTTTCAGATACTTCCTACAAGAAATCCAGATGGGTGAGACCCTGATCGCTCGCGGAGACTTCGAGAGTGGCGTTGAGCACTTGGCAAATGCCATCGTGGTGTGTGGCCAGCCGGCTCGTCTGCTGCAGGTGCTGCAATCCTCCCTTCCAGCTCAAGTATTCGCGATGCTGATTGTGAAAATGCAAGAGTTCGGGAACCGGGCCGCCGAGGGGAACGACGGGCCAATCACATTGGGTCAGAGTTCGGGGCAACAGCTGGACGGCGCCAAAATTATAGAGTGTTCATCTGGAAACGCAAGTATCGACGACCTTGAATAATACTTGGAGATGGCCACTGAAGTTGAAATGCAAATTTCAATAGTAGAAATTAAGGGCTTCATATATAAACATCATATTTTTTTTATATATTGATTTCTCTGGATGTTCCCAATACATAAAAATAAATATGCGTAAACTGTTAACACTTAACCATTGTGCTCTTTTTTTGTTTCTTGCGATAATGACGTTAAAGGAATATTAAAGATCAACTCTACAAAGCTATATTTTGTCAATCATTTTCATAAAGTAAAGTTATCTACAATAAAAGATTATGAAAATGTTGTAAATCTCAAAAATAAATTTTGTTTTGGGAAATGGGGCTTTTATTAGGAGTAGTAATTTGGCATTATATTAATTACAATTCTATGCAAATGAAGTCCCCTTTTCATTTTCTGCCAACTTTAAGTATCTTTAACAGCACCACTAAAACACAGGTTTTTTTTCCATAATTATAAATAGGGTAATATGCTTAAAATAAAAGTTTAACTTCTTTAAAACGACTAGTTTATAATTTTTTTTCCAATTTTAAGAAAAAAAAATACTTTGAAAATTTAGTTCTGTCATTCAAGCCGATAAACACTATTTATTTATCTGAGGATTTATTTACTTTTGATTTTGTTAACTTTTACCTATTTAGTTAAAACTTTTTTTATGGCAAAAACTAGATTTAGCTTAGATGATTTTGATTTTGTTTGATAAAAGATTTCTGTGGTCAATGTTGCGTGATTCTCGCTAAGTTAAAAAAACCCGTTGTTTGATTATTTTTTTATGCAGAGAAGATGGAATTTGGTAGGTTAGTTTCGATATGGGAAAAAGATATTCTCTCAAATCGTGTAAAATGCCTGATATGCAAACCCTTTTATTAGAAACAAGTCAGATTGTCTTCAATCATAGACTTAATTTTCTCAAAAATGCTGGAAAGTCTTGTTTATTCTTTTGCAAGATGTGCATCTAATTTAAGGATATACATGAAATGCGTGTCAAAACCATTACAAAACAAATTTAATTATTTTCATAATAATTTGAAAAATAAACATTAAACCATTACGTGTTTTGAAAAAAAAAGAAACCCACTTTATGTTCTACAATTGAAACCATCTATGTGCTATGACCGAAACCATTTAAACATTTTATGCAGTAGTGATATACTTTTGAACCATTTAGCTTTTTGCGTAGAGTATTCTTGTATGAATCCCACGGTCGGAAATCTTGAAACTCTTTAAGTTGGATCACGAGTCACCCTAATGAATTGATAATCCATACCGGCTTGAAGAGTAAAACAGTGGAATCCATATCTGGTAATACTGGCATCTAAAGATTAGAACCCTTATAGTATTGTTATATTTTTCCATATTTTTTAATAGCCTATAGCTTAACTTGTCGAAGTTGTATTCACATATGTTATGTCCATTGCATAAAAGTGAATCTGTCTGTTTACATTGCACATTTAATTAATCGCCATGAAACCTGTGAACCTAAACAATCTTTCGCAGAAACCTCGAGGATCATTAGATGACTCAACCACTGAAAACAATTCGGTGAGGGTTAAAATAGGTACACTTCACCTTTAACAAATGCTAAAAAATGTTTTATTGCAGGTCAGTAGCGGTTCGGATGTTGAGGATATGAGTGGTGGGACAAGCGATCAAAAAAGGATCGTGCAAGGCTTGAAAAAAACAATTAAAAGGAATAAAACCAAAATAAATGAACTCGTTGCCAAGTTGACAATTTCCGAAATGCAATTAGCAAGTGAAAAGGAAAAGTGCAATCATAAGGACAGTTTAATCAAGTCCTTGCACTTTTCAATCGATTTAGTTAATCAAACCAAAGAATTAAGCATACAGAAAACCCAAAATCAAATCCTAGATTTGCAAAATGCTCTCGATTTGAGAAAGAGTAACTCAATAGAGCCTAACGATCAGATCACAATTGACAAGTTAAATGCCAAAATTGAGAAATTGGAATGCATGGTTCAAGAGAAGGATGATAAATGTGTGGAGCTGGAGGAGAAGACCCAAAAGTATGAAAATGATCTGCAAGAAAGAGATGAGCAAATAGCCAGGCTAGAAGCCGAACTTAAAACATATGAGGACAAATTGAAAGAAAAGGATGACAAACTTGCTATGTTTTCTAAAACTACTGAAAATAATCTGCAAGAAAGAGACGAGCAAATTGCCAGGCTAAAAGCCGAACTTAAAACATATGAGGTTAAATTGAAAGAAAAGGATGACAAACTTGCTATGTTTTCTAAAACTACTGAAAATAATCTGCAAGAAAGAGACGAGCAAATTGCCAGGCTAAAAGCCGAACTTAAAACATATGAGGTTAAATTGAAAGAAAAGGATGACAAACTTGCTATGTTTTCTAAAACTACTGAAAATAATCTGCAAGAAAGAGACGAGCAAATTGCCAGGCTAAAAGCCGAACTTAAAACATATGAGGTCAAATTGAAAGAAAAGGATGACAAACTTGCTATGTTTTCTATAACTACTGTAAGGGGACACGAAAATAGTGAACCACACGTGCTCCTTAACTGCACTAAGGTTTCCTCAATTAAATTCGTAACGCCTCATAATTTCATAGAACCCTTCGCAGCAGTATTTGAGGATATCCCTTCAGCCGGTCCTGACTGGATGGTCATACAGCGCCGTGTCGATGGAAGTGTCGACTTTAATAAACGTATTGGCAGTTTTTGGAAAGGTTTTGGCGACTTGAGTAGAGAGTTCTGGATTGGTTGTGAGAAATTGCACAAGTTGACATCAGGTCGACGGCATGAACTATACATCCAGCTGGTCGATTTTGATGATGCTACTGCTTTCGCCAGATACGATCACTTTGTTATTGGAAGCTGGGATGAGCAATACAAGTTGTTGTGCCTAGGTGCATACTCGGGAAATGCTGGCGATTATATGCGAAGCAGTCATGACTCGATATTTAACAAGTATTGGGATTACAACCTGCAAACAGTGTACAGCTTTTGGCATCCGATTGACTGGTATGAGAAAATTTTAAAAGTTCTTCAGAAATCTTTTCATACCGATAAAATCCCTTCTAACGTATTATTATATCAACAAAAATCAAAAAAAGGTCGTAATTATTCTGTCTTTTCCATACATTTCTACATTATTTTATTACATTTCTACATTCTACATTATATTATCAATTTGAAGAGTTTCTGAAAACCCACGGCTTGTAAGAGTTAATGATCAAAAGAAAGTTACATGATATTTTTTTTCCTTTTTAGCAATTTAAATGGAAAATACTACGGATCTAAAGTTGTGTTGAAGAACGAAAATGGAATTTTTTGGGGTCGTTGGAACTTTGGGGAAAAACATTCTCTCAAATCGTGTAAAATGCTGATCAGGCCGAAGCCATAAAAGGATTTACTGAAGATGATTATCAGCATTTCCAATTCTCGGACTTTTGAATTAGGATGTGCTAAAAGTTTCAAAAATTAAAAATAAGAAACAATATATAAAAACTCTGTTAAAAACTTATCGTCTGTATTAGTTGAAATAAAACGAATAGACAAGTAACAAATAACCATTTGACTAAACTGAAGTTTCAGAAAATTTATTTCTTCTATCTATTTTATGTTTTTTAACAGGTCTTCTTCACTTATCCAGGATAAGTGTAATTCAATACAAACAAAAATAAAAAAGAAACGAATTAACTCTCGCAGTTCTAAGTCTGCGTAGCTCAATTTACATTAGTTAACAAATTTTAACTCTTAAATTGTGTCAATGGAACTTATAATATAAGTTTTACGAATAATTTTTCACATTTTCTTGACCATCATTTGAAGCTTAGCGCACTTTTTCAAAACTGGCAAATTTTTCAATTATTGCCTGGTCACACTGGATTTCGTTTGGATTTGTTTGGGATTACACTTTATACATATGTATGTATATATTTATGCTTTATTCAAAGGTATGAAGTGCATTTAAATGACATAAATTTGCCCCACATTCAATAAAGTGACACTCACGTGCATCGCTGATCATCTTCGACCTTATCCCACCTTAGTTTTTAGATTATCAAAGCACCATCCTGAAGAATACCCCAAAATGGACCAACAGCTCTGCCTGAGTTGGAGCCACAAGCAGTCCGAATTGGCCGGCGTGTTCGATAATCTGCTGGAGAACGAATTCCTGACCGACTGCACCCTCGGTTTTTAGTCCTTACTTTGCCGTGCGTATACCTATGTATATATATATGTATATATCTTTGCCTTCAAGCGCTTTTAAGATCATACCCAACAGGCCCTGCTGCAGGAGCAGTACGACAAGCACCCCATTTTCATACTCAAGGATGTCAAGTACCAGGAACTGCGCCCCACTATTATAATTCGATTTGAAGCTATGTTGATTTTCCGCCGTTTCCGTTCGTACTTATACATATCTATCTATATCTACCTAATATAAAAAAAAAATGAAAAGGGGAAAGTTGTTAGCATTAGAACTGAAAAAATAATAGAAAATAGATGGACAAGACTAGATCGAAACTAAAAGTACTCCATATCAATAACAGAACTATATTTCTAATGATAAAATAAGAAGTTAAAATAACTTATATAATGTAATAATTTAAAACACACTATAATGTATATTTAATTTTAAATTTCTAACGTAATTTTTCGTTATTCTACATATACTTCCGACAGCGAAAAAAACTTTCAAGTAAACAAATCACAAAATTTGTCAACCCAGGATTTCAGAGTTCGAAATGGAATGCCATAAGCGAGCAGGCCATGCCGATCCAGAACGATAGATCTCAGGCTGAACTTGTTTCCATTAATCGATGTATCAGAAAATTCAACTTTGAATATTGGAATAACACTTTAATTTTCATTGTTGCTCACAATATCCTTAAAAAAAATTCTGCTGTTTTATTGCATTTTATTTAAGTGGGAAATTCGCAGAAAAATCTCACGGGATGGCGCCACATAATGACAGATTGCTAAGGGCTATGTCACCTAATATAATTCCTTAACAGAAATCCTGTTTTATAGCATTTTATTAAAGTGGGCATTTTTTATACCATATCAATAATCAGAATTTCCGCACCATTTTTCCTCCGAGGAAAATTCGCAGAAAAATGTCGCAGGATGACGCAACTTAATGACAGATTGCTAGGGACTACTCCACTTAATATTATTTGCCAAAGATATTTTGGTAAATATTTTCAGCTTTTAAAATGAAATTTTTTTTTTGTTACGAAAAACTGCTGCTTATTGAAATTTAAAGGAAAAAAAGATTATTTATAAAAATATGAGAGGTCCCACGTGAAAGACAAAATGACAATCCTTAATACATTGCTTTACCATATTAAAAAGTTAATAACATACAATACGATATTGTTTTAATGGCTAAAATGTAAAGTAAAACATTTTACTAGAAAAACGTTTTAAGCCTGGGGAAATTGGGAAACATTGTTAGTTCTAACAGAGACCCAGACCTTCTTCTGTAAAAACGTTGGGATGTTTTCCGAGATAACATAGGGGTGTGACTGTAGTTGTCAGCAAAAATAGGGCTGTTGCCACCGTTAGGAGGGGATGGATGTTTTGTGTGGGTTCGAGGTTCCAGTTCGAGGTTGCAACCGGAAGTCGTCGAACATGAAAGGACCTGCGATGGCCAGGAGAGTTGCGAATGCGGAAAGTCCAATCAGTTGACTTTCTGTTCTCATTGACTGCGGTTTATGTTGGTTTTGAGTCGCGGTGTACTGCGTGCGTCGGTAGCTGGCCATTGAATGAAGACAGTATGTTTCAATCAAAAGTCGCGCTGTTCTTTTAATATGAGTACGAGTGAAATCGACGACATGCGATTCAACAAATATATCCACGCCAATACTCATTCTCAGTGCTAGTGATGTTAAGCGGTATAATGATAAAATATGTACGTACCTATTGTGTGCCACCAGTTCGTTTAACGATACAAATATTGTTTAATAAATACGTGTAACAGTGATTAAGAGTTGCATAACCCCTTGTAGTGAAAAGGATTTCAATAAACGGAATATATCCAACAAATGTCAGTGGAATAAGCCAAAAAATACTCTCTTGAAAAGGCAACTTCCCCAATCGAATGGAATTCATTTCTTAAATTGCGAAGCCATTGCAATACGGATTATGGGGAATGCAGGGTTTGCGGTTTTTGGGACTTTCTTAGGGTTTAACTTTTAACGCATTGAAAGCAAAATTATTCAAACACGCTTGCAAATTTTGAAATTCTACCCCCAAATGAGAGAAGTACCCCAATTGTCATTACGTCCTTTGATTTCTAGCAATATATGTTTTTTTTCCTTTGCTACTATTTACTATTTCTGCAAGCCTTTTTTAGACAATTTTTTTTTAAATTGTGTGCTCTTAGGTACAAAATATTGTTATGAAATGCAGTTTTAAATTGGAAAGGGCCGCTTTCAGAGACATAAGTTTCACTTAAGTTGTCCGATAACTTGGAAAAAAACAAGAAACATAAAAAAATATTAATTGCTCATTCGTGGCCTTTAAAAAAACAAACGATTGAATGCAATTTGAAAGTGAACAAAAAAAATAGAAACCTGTTTACAGATTCATTTAAATAATGATGTAAAGTAATAGAGAATATTGATTTTTCTCTAGTTGTTAAATTGCTTCCAGTTACATTTGTAGGAAACTTTTTAAGGAAATGGGAACAGTAGGAGCAGAACACTTTACTTACCGTAAAACAATTATTAATACTCTTTTAAAATGTTACTCATAAATTTTTTTTGACTTCATTTAGTTTGTTTTGAAAGGGAACACAGCTTTTGGTCGACAGCAAAGCTAATTTGCAGCACCTATAGTTTTTAAACAATAAAAATAAATGTATGTTAAATAATTATTAGCTTATCTGAACAAAGTAATAATTATTAGCTTATCTGAACAAAGTAAGGATACAACTGAAGCGTTAAATATTTGGTTGTTGTAGCAATTTAAATGTTTTTAAAGAATATGTGCTGATTATTTTGTGCTTTACTTAAGCAAAATACACATTTTATTATTTTTTTGTATAAGTTTTTGATAGTAAGTGGCTCTTTGATAAACATTATCTTCTTTTTGGGGCGCTTGAATACTTTAATTGTATGTTTCACAAAGTAAAATAGGGCTTCAAAGTGCGATCGTAGTGTATTTGTAAATAAACACTGTGTGATACCTGTGACATCTAAAACTCTTATAACCTTGGGTTTAATTCAAATATAATGTAATTCGCGCCAAGTTACTGATCCGTTTATCGATCAAATCGTTTGTTCGGAATTGGGCTATCGATGATTGGAGAGTGACCATAATCGAAACCTGACCAGTGCTGCGAAGCGAGGAGGATTGAGTTGTTTGATTTCATGGAAGAGAGCGGGCGGGGAGATCGTTGTTTAGTTTTTAGTGAATACATGCAGCTGGCCATTTATATTTTAACACAATATAATATTGCGTTGAAAAAATTACAAACTTGAACTGACCTCGATCATGGAGCCGAAATCCATTGCCTTGATCAGTTTGGTTTAAAGTTCGAAATTCAAAATCGTCGATTTTGTAACGGAAATGTTAAATTGTCGTTTCCCTAACATTCCAATGTAAGATCATGTAAGGGCAACGCTGCGGCAGAGGAGAAGCAGAGTAGTGTTGGAAAACCATCGATGTTGCCCCGCCAAACATCGATGAAACCGAGGTTTTGAAAACATCAATGTTGGCATCGATGTTTTTCCACCTCTAGAAGCGGGGAAGTTGATTTTGTTTGATTGAAGAGAGCGGGGGGAGATCGTGCATACAATTAATGTGCAGTTAATGTGTAATTCCAATTGATGATCCAGAAAACGGTCATGAATGAAACTACAATCCGATGAAAGTGTGCTCCGCTAAATTAACGAACAACCAACGAAAACATCGAGTATTAGTCACTTCCAGCGAAGTGGTTTGCGCAGTGGGATCAACTTTAAATTATAAAGGTATACACACATACCTACATATGTACCTTCGTTTGTATGTTGGCCAAACATTTTCGAAAAGATTTGTGCATTTCTATTTATTTTATACCACTAAAGTGCTGCCTACACGGATTTTATCGCGGTGGTTGAGTGTGTGTTTATTTACCTTATCGGAAAATTAGGCCCACGGAAAAAGAGACACATGTTATCTGTGTACACCGATGTATAATATATATGTATGCATTACATACCTATGTAAATGCTGCATTTCTATATAAAAAGTGGAGTTTGTGGTGGTAATTGTGACTTTGTGGATTCATTTTCTGAGTGAGAAAATAGTTAAAGAGGGTTTGGATTATTGCGACACCTTAGAAAACACGGGCGTAGTTGTAAGTAAACATTAACATTTAGATCAGTCCATCGACTGATTCACATTTTCTCTGCTAGCTAACAGACATAGCTCGTTTTGACTTCTTTATTTTTTGTATATTACGGGCTTTATTACTCATAATTACCTACACGCCGCAACAATTTCGCAACCCTCGCATTTTCATGAATCGTTTCGAAATTTCTTCTGACAACAAGTGGTTCTTCAATCAAGTAATTATGGTGACTTTAATTAATCAACAGTTGAATCTTTAGAAATGAGATCAATTTAAAATTGATTTTGTTTTGTGGCCTTTTTAAGTTTTAACAACAATAAAATATATATAATAAATTTACGAAAAACGTTCCAACCACTTCTTTTCTCTGAATTTATAATGAAAGAAAATGAAACCCTGTTTTTCACACATTTGGTTTATTAGTTTTTCTTATCTGTTAAAAAGGTGTCAGTTAAAGGCATTGTTACTGGCTAGAATGTTTGAATTTCGAGTAATAGGAAAATTTAGATTTTGGGCAACAAATTTAGTGTGCTTAAATTGTTAACACAAAACGTTCGCCTTGTTGAGATCCATAGGATCCCTTTACATGTTTTTAATTATGGAATATAAAAACATAGGTAAATCCCTTTTAAACGAAATGGGGCTAAAAAAATGTATCTTGTGTAAATGTTATAACCAATTAAATTGGGCGTTGTTGAAAAATGATAAACACAAGTTTATGACTTTGTAGACTTAAAATATTAAATAAATGTTTATTTTAATTAATTTATAATTTATTAAAGTTTATTCATGAATAGCTGTTATTTCTAATACCTTAAAAATGGATGCACCTAAAATTATTAATATATTTAATTATTGACTTGGACTCTTTTGGTGTTCATTTGTAAAACTTTTAATTCTAGTATTTATTGTATAGAAACAAATCATTTTTTAAAATAGAGTATTATGTTTTATTTTAAAAACCTTATATTTAAATAGCATCAAGCTAGTGAAATTTTTTCGCATTTATTAATTTAATTATGCTTTCAATTTTTAAATAATAGATTTAAAACTTTTAATAAACAATATTTGTTTTTGGCCCTCATGCCTTTCGCCTAATGTAACACTTCTATAACTTTCAGTTTTAATTTAAACGAAAGAGTTGTAAAGAATATCACATTTTCTTATTTAATCCACTAAACCTTAATATTTAATTACATATAGAAAAGTAATGAACAAAAGTTAGAGCAGACTTTGG